GACATTTCCAAATGGTTATTATTTTAAGTAAGCTTAATGCCTCTTAAATGTTTTTGTGCCTTTATGCTTTTTTCTTTCCCCCTGGCTCTTACTGGATGTATTAGTTATGTTTTTTTGTCTTATTGTGAATGAATGTCTTGAACTTATGTTGATAAGTTGATGATATCCTCACCGAGCTTTTGTATGTTTAAAAAAATGTTCAATAAATAAAAAATAAATAAATAAAAAACACAGCTGGGAGACCAGGGGACACTAAAGAGTGACGCACACAGCTGGGAGACCAGGGGACACTAAAGAGTGACGCACACAGCTGGGAGACCAGGGGACACTAAAGAGTGACGCACACACATTAATGCAGTTGATAGAAACGACTTCCTGCTGCTCGTTAGCCTGCGTCTGAACTGGCAGAGGGGAAATGAAACTTAATTAAAATCTCCTCTTTATTCACAATACTGTCCTCACAACTCTGCATCGTGTGAGTGTCCTTTACACCGCTGTAGTGTCTCACGAGTAGAGTCAGGGGACGCTGCAGGATGCAAAGAGATGAAACAGAAACTAAAGGGTTTATTATCTGCAGCTCTGTGCATCGATTCCAGCGGTTAGACGTCTCTCTGGGTTTCTGTTGCACTCAGAGAGACAAAAGCACGATGGGATTAAAGGTCTGAGAAACAAACAGAGAAGATGCAGCGGCTCGTTTCTCTCTGATAACGTTAAGAGGCGTCCGTTTGTACGACCTTCAGAGGACATGTCTTTCAGAGTTCATTATAAATTAATAGAAAATGGACTCATGAGGAATAAAGCCCCTCCACCTCTTATACATGGTGCTTTGGTGTCAATATATGTCCACTGTTTTGGTGTTTCTTTGCAGTCTTCTTATGCTCATACTAGCCGTGTTGTGTTTATTTGTAGCTGTTAACTTGTTATTTTGACACAGAATGAACATGTTTTAATGGAAAGCAGATTAAACATGGCGAATTACAAAGGACAAGAACCACAAAAAGGTTGCTTTGATAAGAAAACGTGACAACATGCGGCTGCTGGATCTCCTCTCCGCTGCTCAGAGATGATTTCTGTGTCACGTTATAATCATCCCTCTGTGAGAGGAACCATGCACAGCTCTCAGGATAATCACCGTCATTATGTTTCTCTCAGGGAGGCTTTTAGAGAAGAGCTGGAAACACTCTCGGGATGTTAAAATCACACTCTGCAGAATCTGTAATCAACACGTCACTAACGCTGCAGTGGAGATGAGTGTAATTATCTCCATCAGACAAAACACACTGGAGTTACACTCAGTGACACGTGAAGTCTAAAGGGTCAGGACGTGGAAAAGTTCATACAAATTGTTCCTTTACTCTAATTAATTCATATCTGATTTAAAAGATTGAAATGTATTATTTGAAAGTCACTAAAACACATTAAATCATGTGGATTCCCTCTAGTCTAAGCTAAGCTAGGCTAGTTAGCTTTCAGCAAGACTAGTTTAACATGGTGTCAATTATTCTTAAAGGGGACCTATCATGCAAAATGCACTTTTGTACGTCTTTTCTACATGAATATGTGTCCCCGGTGTTCCAGGGAACTCACCAAGTGTCAGAAAACACAACCCTCTCTATTTTCCTCCATACCCAAATCTCTAAAAAAGGGGCTGCAACGGATCTGATAAAAACTGATCCAGATTTGAACACTGTCCTGACGTCAGGACGGTGGCGCTACGGCTATTGGGCCAACTCCACCAATCAGGAGGAGACAGCCACGGACATTGCCGTTCGAAAGCGCTGGAGACGCTGTAGTACATATGCCAGGCCAGTAGATGGTGCTGTTGCTCACAGAATCAGCCCTTGCTAAAACAGAGCTAGAAAATGTCAAATTGAGCAAAATGAGGCATGGCTAAAATGTTGGTCTGTTTGGTATTTTGAAAAAAAAAAGTATAAATATGCCTTATATAGGTATGGTCCTACACTATATTATTCAAATATAGCATGATAGGTCCACTTTAAAGAAAACATTTAAAAAAATAATATTACAAATAAATATAATAAAATAGGCTAAATGTACTAAAATATAATAAGATAAATAAATGAAACAGTTCAATTTTAAAATAAAAAAAGAACAGTAAAGATGAAATCAAACAAACAAAGCACTAAATGACAATAAGATGTATAAAAACATTATTTAAATGAATGAAAAACAAACCATGTGTTATTGTTTTCCAGAGACCACAGGTGTGGACCATGGAGATGGTTTCTACGCCGGGATGCCGATCCCCTGCGCCGACAGCTACAACGGATTCTGTGTTCACGGGAAATGTGAAATCAAGTACAACATGGCCACCTGCAGGTAAATATACGTACTGCAGGTAAATACACTAAATACACTTACTACAGGTAAATATACGTACTCCAGGTAAAAAAAGATAACATAACATAAGAAGGACTTTTATGAACCCCCGTGGGGAAAGTCAATAGTTTACCAGCAACAGTGTGAGATTGAAAAACAGGACAGATTCACACAAGATTAAAGATTAATACAATTAAAGATATAATTACAATTATATACAGTTAAGTAACTTTTAAAATAAGAAATGAATAGTTTCTTAAATACACCTACGCAGGTAATTACACCTACTGTACGCAAGGGCTGATTAAAATTCAAGATGTTTCAACATGTAGTCGATCACGCCAGAGAACATGTGAAGAGAGATGAACATATGGCTTAGTGCTTTGTGGACTATGCTAACGTGTCTGTGTGTGTGTGTGTGTGTGTGTGTGTGTGTGTGTGTGTGTGTGTGTGTGTGTGTGTGTGTGTGTGTGTGTGTGTGTGTGTGTGTGTGTGTGTGTGTGTGTGTGTGTGTGTGTGTGTGTGTGTGTGTGTGTGTGTGTGTGTGTGTGTGTGTGTGTGTGTGTGTGTGCGTCTCAGGTGTGATGCAGGTTATAAGGGGACTAAGTGTGAGGACCCTCAGGACTTTAACATCCTGTACGTGGTTCCCAGCGGTCAGAAGCTTCACTACGTTCTCATCGCCGCCATCATCGGAGCCGTGCAGATCGCCATCATCGTCGCCGTGGTGATGTGCATCACGAGGTGAGGCCACGCCCACTTTCATTAATAACAAAGCCCCCTTGAAATGTAAAAAAAAAAAAAAAGCAGTTTTTACACAAAACAATGTATTAAATTATGTCGACTTTGGGTAAAAGGTCGATATTTACAGAAAGTCAAACACTTTTTTCTCAGATTTGATTAAAAAGTCATAACTTTTCGAAAAGTAATCTTAATCTCAAAATTCTGTTTATCTCAGGTTAAAAACCTGAGATAAACAAAACTTGACAAACTTTGTCAAGTTTTGACAAAGGTCAAACTTCTGAGCAAATAAAACAAATAAAAGTAATTTAAGAATTTGGAAAAATAAAGTCAGAACTTTTTCTCAAGAGGAAAAAAAAAGTAAGATTTATTTTTTGAAGAGAAAAAACAACAATCAGGCGGAAAAATTTGAGAAAAAAAACAAAAAAAAAACTGAATTTTGCTAAAAAATGTAAGAAAACAAGTACGAAAAATAAAAATGAGGGCTGTCAGTCGATTAAAATAGTCGCGATGATTAATCGCAAATTAATCGCACATTTTGTATCTGTTCTAAATGCACCTTAGAGGAATATTCTTCAAGTTTTTAATACTCTTATCAACATATGAGTGGACAAATATGCTTGATGCAAATGTTTGTTTATTATCATTGGAACAATGACAAATATTCTCATGAATATTTTCAATGCAACAACCTGGAACCTCTCTCTCGCTCGCTCTCCCTCTCTCTCTCTCTCTCTCTCTCTCTCTCGCTCGCTCGCTCGCTCTCCCTCTCTCTCTCTCTCTCTCTCTCTCTCTCTCTCTCTCTCTCTCTCTCTCTCTCTCTCTCTCTCTCTCTCTCTCTCCCAACCCTGTGTACTTCTCTGCACTGAGCCAGTTGCTCAAACAGACAAGCCTGTTTCCAGTTGTCGGCGAGATGCCGCTCCTCTGTCTTCATAACAGTCAAAGCATGAGACTGAAGTTCCCACCTGGGGTCAAAATAATGCGCTGTGATGTGCAGTCGACACGTTGGATGCGATCCCAATTATCCAACGCAGCCCCTCGTCCTCAACAATGTTAAGCTGTAGCCACCCATTTAGCTATCGCTGTTGTTGTCCAGGCGTCTCCCCGGCAAACGTTCAAGCGTGGTCTGCTGCAAGCGAGCGGCCGGAGCGGGGCTGAGCATCAGCTGTGGGCTTGCTGTTTAAAACACCTTGTTTTGTATCCATATCTCTCGCTAGAATCTCCCAACATCCAACTAACAACAACAACAACAACAACAACGTCAAGCCTTTGGGCTCTGAAACTACGGGGTGGGCCGAGGACAAATACACATGTGTTAATCGCACGTTAAAATAATTAGTGGCGTTAAAAAAAAAATTGCATTAACGCGTTAACTTGACAGCCCTAATAAAAATATCTCATAATTTAGAGAACAAAAAAAAATCATAATTCTGGGAAAAAAACTTTTGAGAATACGAATCTAAATAAAAAAAAAAATAAGTCTGATGTTTTGTTTTCTTCCACTGAGAAGTTTCTTGAAAATACAAATAATAAATCTCTTTTTTCTATCTTTAGGAAATGTCCGAAGAACAACCGGGGTCGCCGGCAAAAGCAAAACCTGGGACACTTTTCCTCGGACACGAACTCCCGGATGGTATAGCCGAGTCGTCCGGGGCCTTTTTTTAAAACCTTTTTTCTTACGCCGTGGGAACACCATTTTTTAAAACGGTAGATCTTTGGTATTTAGTTTTTTCCTCCTGGGAAACCATAAAAAAAAGAAGAAGAATGAGAATATTTATTTACGGGGCCTTACTTACTTTCCCTCCTTTTTCATTTTTATTTTTTTTGGATGGAAGTCATTTTTCTTTCGTTGCCGGAAGAACAAGGACGCGAATCTTCAAAATCCCCCGCTGTCACTTTACGTTGTTACCGTGTCTTAATTACTAAATGCTTTATAAAAAAACGGTACTTTTGGTAACTGGAGAAACGCCCGCCCCTCTTGAATGTGCTATTTATTGTAAAATGTTTATTTCTACGCCCCTGTTTTACTAACGCTGTGCAGCTGATCACCAAATGCAGTTTGTTTTCTAATTGAAGGAGTTTGTGGCCGGCCAGTGATACAGAAATGTTTATACTTTATTCTCTAAAGACGTCACTGTGTTCCAACAAGCGAATAATTTATTACTATTCTAATGATTCCGTTTGTTTAAAATAATTCGACTAGTTCCTGTATATATATCCGCATGACTTGTGAAAACTGTGTACTGTGGTGTTGTTTCAAACCTTTTTAAAAAGAAGACCTCAACGCCTCCTCGTTTTCAGAGCAATTCGGAGACGGACATCTAAAAGATTGGGACTGATAAACGGAGGACAATGAGAGAGGGAGGTTTACGATGTTTCTGAAGAAAGCAATGTTTAAAGATTGGGAATAACTGTCTGAAAATATCAAAAAAGAAGAGCAGACGTTGGGAAACATTGGAGTACGTTCTTCTGAAAGACAGGTTTGTGTTGATTCCAAGGAATGTTTTTGCATCTTCGTACGAAATACTTAAATTCAGAGGATTGTAAAGGAAGTGTGTCGCCTGTTCTGAGGTTTCAAAGACTGCGAATTGTTGTTTTTTATGTAATTGGGAGAACACCTTGGTTGCCCAGATGGCTGTAATCAAGGTGTATCTTTGAATGTGGGAGAAATATTGCGTCTTTTTCTACTTTTGTTTGTTTTAGTTTTTGCATTTGCTCCGCAGCGAGACATTCCAAGCACAGAAACAACCTATAATATCAAAAGATGTCGGTACGAATATGACTTGAACCCCCGTTTCCTTCTGGTACAAACATGTGTTGAGCTTGAAGTGAAGAGTAGAAATGGGAAACATTGGAGTACGTTGTTTAGGGCTGTGCGATTATGGCAAAAATCCTAATCACGATTATTTTGGTCAATAATTGATATCACGATTATTAAAAACGATTATCCATTTACTTTGAAAACCTCCATTTATTGAAACAAAAATGTGAACAGTATGTGTTTAACAGTTGATTACCCTGAACTTTAAGTAATAATTCAACTGAAAAACCAAAAAAAAAAAAAAAATGTAAAAATAATAATTACATTTTTTTTTTTTTTAATAAAAATAATAATCGTTTTATTTCGATTACGTTGTTTTCGTAATCGTTGCAAGCCAAAATCATAATCGAGATTAAAATACGATTAATTGCACAGCCCTAACGTTGTTCTGAAAAACACCCGAGGAACAGGTTTGATTTAAAGGGATGTTTTTGCGTCTTCGTACGAAATACCCAAATTCAGAGGATTGTAAAGGAAGTGTGTCGCCTGAGGTTTCAAAGACTGTAAATGTTCTTAAACGATGTTATGTAACTGGAGAACGTCTTGGTTGTAATCAAGGTTTTTCTTCAGCGAGACATTCCAAGCACAGAAAATCTGATCATAATAGAACAAAAAAATCACTTTACGATACATATATTACTTAAAGACCTTTTGTTATTAATTTACGTGATAAATTAAAAAGTGAAGACAGACAAATACTGTATGTAGAAAGTCAACGAGAACAGGAACTTCACATCTGATGAGTGACGATGTTTTGTTCCTTGTTTTAATCTGTATGACGTGTTGTGCGTTTTATTTCAAAGTCGATGGACGAGGGTCAGGGCCACATTGTTTTTTTAGTTCAGAGATTGAAGTCTGCTTCTGAGGAAATAAGTCAGAATTTTTTTTCTCAGAATTTTGAGACAAATGTCAACATTTTGAGGAATAAAAGTGGAAATAAAAGTAATTTCAGAATTTGGAGAAAAATAGTCTGACATTTTTTTCCTTTGATTTTTGAGAAAAAGCTGAAAATTCGAGGGAACAATTTTTTTTTTTTTTTTCGCAAAATGCTCAGATAATAATAATACAAAAATAATTTTGACTTTTTTCTAAAAATTCTTAGAAAACCTTTTTCTGACGTGTTCTCTCAATTTAGATTGTTTTCTCAGATTTTTAACTTTTTTCACAAAATTCACAAACAAAAATATTCAAACCTTTTTTTCTCCAAATGTTGTTTTATTTTTTATAAACAACATTTGGAGAAAAAAAGGTTTGAATATTTTTGTTTTGCATTATTAGCATTAGCATTAGCCCCGCGCACCAACGGAGAGAGACTAACTTATGGCAACACAAAAGAAAACATGTGAGCGGTGGAGTGATGAGGAGGTGTCGGCGTTCTGGCGATTTACTCTGAAGACGTGACCCAGCAGCTTCTACTGAAGCCACTCCCCAACTCCGGGGACTTCCGGCCGGGGACTCCGGGTGGCAGTATACGCCGTGAAGTTGTTTGCGGCCTGCCAGTAAACCCAAAGCAGAAGAAGAAGAAGTGACCAGCGGCTTCGTTTGCCTAATCCTCCCTCAGGGACTTATTCCGTTGTGAACGTGATCTACTAGGACAGTTCCAGGAACTAAAGAGTTCGGGGGGATTAAGTACTGGGAACTAAGTGCGGCAAAGTACTTGGTGTGAAAGCTGCTAATTTCTGAGAATTTCTTTTTCGAGACAAAACTATTTCAGAATTTGTTTTATCGAAGGCTTTTGAGAAAAAAGTCAAAAATCTTAGATAAAAAATCTGATTTTTTTTTTAACTTCTGGTCAGATCTAAAAAGAAAATGTCACACGTGGCCCTGATCCTCTTCTATAAAAGCCCATCCTTTTTTTTTGGGAAATGACCCACAAGTGTTCATAGTGTCACCATGCAGTGATGAAAGAGAGTAATTCAGACGCAGCATCCCTCTCCACTTCATCCAGACTCCATGTTGTTGTGAAAACACGTTTTTGAACGAAGAGTCTGAGGCTCGTCTGCTGTCAATGTTTATCTCTTTTATTTTCTGACAGGAGTTTGTGTAAGGTGTTAGTCTAAAGGTCGTAGGTCAGCCGCCCCTGAGCAACGTGTTTCTTCGTGTTGTCGAACCATCGCAGCCGTGACTTCTCTAAATGTGACTAGAATGTGTTTGACATGTTAATATTCTGCATGTAGACTTCGAGAGGCTATTTTTGGTCTCTGCCAAAATAAAAAAGGAAATGTTTTTTTAATGTACCCCCGAGTGCCGATGTGTCATTTGCTTTCCTGTCTGTCCTTGTGTGTGTGTGTGTGTGTGTGTGTGTGTGTGTGTGTGTGTGTGTGTGTGTGTGTGTGTGTGTGTGTGTGTGTGTGTGTGTGTGTGTGTGTGTGTGTGTGTGTGTGTGTGTGTGTGTGTGTGTGTGTGTGTGTGTGTGACCCGTGAGAAGAGACTCTTCAGTGCACGGACACAGAAAACACTTTTGAGTTTGTTTTCGCTCCACAGAGACACAGTGTCCTAATTCCATACTAATTAATGTTGGTGCAGAGTCTACAAAGGATCCTTCTGAGACACAAAGCACATGGAGTGTAACGTGTAAACTGCTCTAAGCCTGGCAGGAGAACAACATATCTTTTTGGGGAGAAATTGGACAGATTATGACTGTTTATTTCTCTCGATAGACATTAACGTTAAAAATGGGAAGCCTGGAACGACTAGAGCAGGGGTGTCAAACTCAATTTCATCGCGGGCCACATTCGCATAAAGGTTGCACTCAAAGGGCCGGTTCTAACTTTATAAATATATAATATATATATATATAAAATGTATTATATTACATTATTGCCTAATTGGATTATTATCGGATAGGATAATAACTTAGCAATTAACTACGTCTGAAAGCAGAAGTCCAGGGCAAATCATTGCAAGTCTCTTCAGTGTCACAAAACGAGATGCATTGTGGGACATGTAGTTTACGGGCAACCTGCTTCTGTAAAGCTGCATGAAACCGTATAATAAACGTATTATATTCTTTGCAAGCTCTTGCGGGGCCACATCAAATGAAGTCGCCGGCCGGATTTGGCCCCCGGGCCTTGAGTTTGAGACCCCTGGACTAGAGTGAACTCTGGTAACGGACTCACAACAGCACGACTCAAACAAAGGCTTTAGTTTGAAGAAAACATTATTTACACACAGCATTTCTTCTTGGTTGTAACGCTGCCATGTTGCTGTCGTGGCTCATCGCTTGTAGGATATTTAAAACTGTGCCACATTAACAGGACTCCGCTTCTTGACTCACACGTTAACAACCGTCCAAATAAACCTCTGCAGGCGCTGATTTATTTACTTCTTCCATCAAATTAACAAACAAATAAACAAAGCCTGATCAGGTCAAAGACTGTATATAACAGCTGATCATCTGGTTGATCACAATACATCCAAACTATTCTCAGAATATTTAATTGAATACAAATTCATAAATCGAAAGAATATTTTAAGACCTAAATTAATTGGAACATTTTAATTTATAGTCAACACAAAAAATGGCTGTAACATTCCAGCCCCTAATTACCTCGAATAAAGCAATTACAGCGACTCCTAAATAGAACCAATATTCAAAACGGATATAATCTTTTTCTACTTAACATAAACATGTCAGAGTTCATAGATGAAATTCATCTTGAGTTCATATAAAAACATTTCTTTTTCTAACTATAGTCGAGTTCCAAGGAATTACCAGGAAGAAAATGTGAAGCTGAAAATTAGATATTGGGTTTACTTCACCCTAAAAACACATTTCCTATTCCTATGCATTTTGCTAAATATCTACCCTCGCTAATTGCCGCTTTGGGACTCAGTGGCGAGCACAGATGAGGTTGAATGTGTCCTCCAGCCATGTATTTATCACCTGCGCTCCCCCCACCTGTCGGGGGTCCTTCATTGAAGCTCCTGTCTAATTAAAAACTGCTCATTTGTTCAGAATCCAGAAGCGGAGCAGAGGTCACCGAGCCTCCATGTGAAAATACACCACAGTGTGTGTGGTACATTTCCAGAGATGGTAGAAGTACACACATCCTTTAATCAAGTAGAAGTACAGATACTTGTGTTTAAAAATACTCTGGTGAAAGTAGAAGTACTGACTAAACTTCTTTACTCAAGTAAAAGTAAAGAGGGCTTTGAAATGTACTTCAGTAAAAAGTACCCATAACTAGCAGCTGTTTTAAAGAGTACCTGACCTCCCTTTATATTAATAGAACAATAATGTCATTGTTAGCTAATGAATGTTTCCATGCTGAACAACGGCAACATGACAACGTTTTCATTGGTCCCTCTTCTTTAGAGAAGACCAGGAAATGATGGATACACGGATCGTGTTCAAATCAATAGGCACGCAATGACTCTAAATAATAATGATCACGCCACCAAACACACATTCAAACTAAAGGAACCAGCCTGTTTGGAAAATGTGAGAAGTAGAAAGTACAGGTATTTGGGTTCAACATGTAAGAAGTAGAAAGTACAGGTATTTGGGTTCAACATGTAAGAAGTAGAAAGTACAGGTATTTGGGTTCAACATGTAAGAAGTAGAAAGTACAGGTATTTGTGTTCAACATGTATGAAGTAGAAAGTACAGGTATTTGTGTTCAACATGTAAGAAGTAGAAAGTACAGGTATTTGTGTTCAACATGTAAGAAGTAGAAAGTACAGGTATTTGTGTTCAACATGTATGAAGTAGAAAGTACAGGTATTTGTGTTCAACATGTATGAAGTAGAAAGTACAGGTATTTGTGTTCAACATGTAAGAAGTAGAAAGTACAGGTATTTGGGTTCAACATGTAAGAAGTAGAAAGTACAGGTATTTGTGTTCAACATGTAAGAAGTAGAAAGTACAGGTATTTGAGTTCAACATGTAAGAAGTGAAAGTAAAAAGTCGTCAGAAAAATAAGTAGTGGAGTAAAGTACTGATACCAGAAACATGTACTTAAGTACAGTAACAAACTATTTGTACTCCCAATACTCCCCACCTCTGTACATTTCTACAAGGGGCAGGGACTCAGGCATGCTATACTGGAGTAAATATAGCGTTATAGAGTGTGGGGGGGTGGGGGGGGGGGGGGGGGTATTCAGGGACAGGAGCAGCTGTTGGCTTCAGTCGTCCAAACTACCACAATGTACAAAAACCCATCATGGTTCAACTTTCTCTGCAAAGAACTGGACAGATAACCAAGACTTTCCTAAACTACATGTCAGATCTAGTTGGTCCACTGAGAAACTGATAAAGATAAGATAAGATACGATAAGATACGATAAGATACGATAAGATAAGATAAGATAAGATAAGAGGTACTTTATTGATCCCAAGTTGGGAAGTGTTTGTGTTGCAGCAGCATACAAAGACATGGCATTGTACAATACAATTAAAAGACTAGAAATAAATGTCAACATCTCAATAGGATTAAAATAGCAAAAATACACATCCTGTAACAGTTCTGAGATATAGCAGAAAGGTATACATTAGACAGTTATTAATGGCACATATATATATATTGCACATATTGCACATAATTGGTATTAAGACTAATTAGAAAACAAACCAAGCAGACCTCGTTAAAGGGTTGTGGCGCTAACCCTTCAGCCTCCTATCAGGTTGTTAAAGAAATATCTTTTTGCTTTAAATATATGACAAAGTACGTTCATGACTTTCTCCAACTGTGAGCTAAAGACCAATGATTATTCCTCCACTGAATCCATCTTATTAACGTGTATGTGTTAACTGTAGCAGTTCAGAGCAGCGAGTGTTAAATCGGCGTCACTTTGACACTCCTCTCGTCTCTATAAAGAGCTTCAGATCTCAGTCCCTGCCAACGTCCGGACTCTGCTGCCCGGGGGGGAAAGTAAAAAGGGCAGCGCTGCAATGCTTTAATCCCCCGAAACGCATTCCAGCTCTGTGTCATCACACCAGACAACTGTGGCCGCTTTGCATGCGTCCCTGCAGGGCTGCAGAATATCTGCTAAGCTGCTGTTGATGAACACAGTCAGCTGCTAGCATGAACATGTGTGCAAAAATAACGCAAAATTATGAATCAGTGCACGTGGCTTTAACAAAGCGGCGCAGGACGCTAGGCGGGGGGTTTCCAATCATGCATTGCGTCTTCCCAAAATGTCCAACGTGTCGCCTTACAGAGAGATTTTTTATTTTTAGCCCTGGGTGGTTCGTGTGAGGTTCTCCTTTGGACCCTGAGGCCTTTTTTAAAAGAGGTAGGTGGAGTTTAGCCTCTCTCCTGTCCCCAGACCTGAGTTTGGGTCACTGTGGTCGGGTGTTTCCACTCTCCGGTCTCCTGTTGGTAACTCCTGGTTCCTTGCCCTACGCCAAACCACACTTTTAAGTATTAAGCAAATTTCGAAGAGGCCGATCCTTCATTATCATCGAAGCATTCCCCAAGCCAAACCACACATCTGCAACAAGTTGTGAAGTCATTTGAAGAGGCAAATCCTTCATTATCATCGAAACGCTGCAATGGATCAGCATAAGTATCGCACAGCGGGAGTCCAGGAGAAGTTGGAGATCCTCGGGGTGGAAGATGCCGACGGGAACCCAATCAGCGCCTTGACCATCTTGTCGCTTCTGGAACGCGTTGCCGGCATCATCGACAACGTCCAGTCCTGCCAGCAGCGCATGGAGGAGCGTCAGATGGACCTGGAGAGCAACATCAAGAGCATCCAGGGAGACGTGATGAAGCTGGCCAAGGACCACACGGACACCAGCTGCACGGTGGAGAAACTGCTGCAGAAGGCCCGAAAAGTCAGCGCCAACGTCAAGGAAGTCCGCATGCGCGTCGAGAAGCAAAACGTCCACGTGAAGAAGGTGGAAACCACGCAGGACGAGCTGCTCACACGCAACAAGTTCAGGGTCGTCATCTATCAGGTAAGCAGAGTCAAGTAAAACATGTCAGGATATGTTTGTGTGTTGTCGTTTTTGGACCAGAAGGTATAACTGAAACTGGAGGTACCAAGTTCTCCAGTTCTTTCAACAACTTCATGCATTGTCCTTCTGATGCAAAACAGATAATTCAATCAATTGACATGTCAGTCACACTAAGTCATTTAATAAGTGAAAAGGCATTTATGGGTTTATTTCAGTAAGTAGAGGACGAGAAGAGGGGCGGATTCATGTGGTAAAAGATGTCAAGATATACGTTTGTGTGTCGTGGTCGTGAAGATGGAACAGAAGTTATAACTGAGACTGAAGGTACCACGTTGTTCTTTTGATGCAAAAACAATAATGTAATCAATTGATATGTCACACAGTACGTTATGTAATAAGTAAAGACGACCTTTTTGGGTTTATTTCAGTAAGTTTAACACCCTGGACTGCGAAAGCAATTTATAGAAAAGCATCCTCGTTATTTAAAGAGCACACACTCTTATCCAAAGTGCGAAACGACTTTAAAGGAGTCCTATTCTTCCAAAGTCATTCAATAAGTAATAATGCATTTGTGGGTTTAAGCATTTCAAATGTAAGGATTTCCCGCTGTTATAAATTGGCTTTGTCCAACTTTTGTACAATTTTTCTATTCCCCACAATGACACGAATTGACGTAATTACCCATCGTATAAGACAGAAAAACCCAAAGCAGACATCAACACTTGTTAAGTAACTACAGTCCAATAAGAAAACCACACGATACAAAAATAAGAATGAAACCAAAGAATGAATTTGAAGTGATTTTTCTTCTTGAATGAAATCACAAAATGTACCAAAACAAATAAAATTCTGATTCTACATTTTCCAACGTAAGCAACGAATATTCACAAATTATCTGTGAGACACAGGACTTATTTTTTATCCAGTCTATTGACAAGAAAAATATATTAGTTTTGAAGTTTAAACATGTGTAATGTTATTGCAATGTGATTTAAAATAGTGTCTTTGAGCTGTAGTTGCCAAATTATACTACATTTTTAATGAAGCCCCTAATAATATGGTTTCATGGCTTCTTTTTGTTGCTAATATAACTATAAATTATTAAATATACAACAATCACCATTAATGTCGTTTTTTGTAAGAGTTTAACAGTCAAAAAGTCATCAGGACTTTGTGTATGTCGCCTGGCAACAATACCATTCTGATTCAAATTATGCTGAGTTCTGATTGGTGAACGGAATCATGTGTCATCATCATTTTCAAATTAAGCCCCACCCACTTCAAATCAGTGACACAAAGGCTGTTTCACAATCAAATCAGTTGGCCATTTTGTAGTGCTGTATGAATGTAGACTATAGTTATAATTATTATACATATTCCATATAGTGGTTAAAAATGCAATAGCGTACAGACATTATGTCCCATCATGCATTGCGGTTAATGGAACACAGTTGGATAAGAGAAGAAAGTTGCGTGATTCATGGAAAACGTAGGAATTAAGGAGCTAAAATATGAGCCGAGCAACGCATCACAACACAAACAATAGTAAATAAATAATTAAGTTGTGAAAATACGCTTTATTTATGTAGTACGTTTACTTACTCAAAATAAAAGCTCAACCTCAACATATACCCCAAACTCATTAAAAAAGCTTATGTTAATATAATTATCCCAAAATGCAGTCCGTATTTATATCTAAATGTTGTTCATTTAGCGTGATCCAATTGTGCAATGTTGTAATAAGACCAAAGGACCCAAGTAGTATCGGATAGTCTTTCATTTTGCCAATGAGCTAACTGTATAGTCCTCTTAATAAAATACAAAAATGATTGTTTTAACGTTGTGTGTTATATTAGGAAACCGTAAGAACAGTAATAAGCTGATTGAGAGCATTTTAGGGCCTTTAACAAAGAGAAAATACATTTAAAAAACACCTTAAAAACTTGTATCAGTGGTTTCTGTGGGGCAGCTCCTCTCTGGGTTATCAAATCCACGTTTTCTTTTATGAGGAACTGGAGCAGAATTAAGTTGAGAATACAAATCAGAGTAGGTTCATCTCCTCGAGGCGGGACAAATGTGGGCCAAGCAGCGAGATCTAAACTGAAATAAACTCTGACTCAATGCATTCAGCGGCAGAGGGGCGATGTGAGGAAGTTTAACAACCTCGACTCCAAAAACAATTTATAGAAAAGCATCCTCGTTATTTAAAGAGCACACACTCTTATCCAATGAGCGAACAGCTTTAAAGAGTCCCCTATGTTCAGGTGTATATCAGTATGTAGTGTCTCTACTTTAAAGAGTCCTCTCCTGCTGATGTTCAGGTGTATATCAGTATGTAGTGTCTCTACTTTAAAGAGTCCTCTCCTGCTGATGTTCAGGTGTATATCAGTATGTAGTGTCTCTACTTTAAAGAGTCCTCTCCTGCTGATGTTCAGGTGTATATCAGTATGTAGTGTCTCTACTTTAAAGAGTCCTCTCCTGCTGATGTTCAGGTGTATATCAGTATGTAGTGTCTCTACTTTAAAGAGTCCTCTCCTGCTGATGTTCAGGTGTATATCAGTATGTAGTGTCTCTACTTTAAAGAGTCCTCTGCTGCTGATGTTCAGGTGTATATCAGTATGTAGTGTCTCTACTTAAAGAGTCCTCTCCTGCTGATGTTCAGGGTGTATATCAGTATGTAGTGTCTCTACTTTAAAGAGTCCTCTCCTGCTGATGTTCAGGTGTATATCAGTATGTAGTGTCTCTACTTTAAAGAGTCCTCTCCTGCTGATGTTCAGGTGTATATCAGTATGTAGTGTCTCTACATTAAAGAGTCCTCTCCTGCTGATGTTCAGGTGTATATCAGTATGTAGTGTCTCTACTTTAAAGAGTCCTCTCCTGCTGATGTTCAGGTGTATATCAGTATGTAGTGTCTCTACTTTAAAGAGTCCTCTCCTGCTGATGTTCAGGTGTATATCAGTATGTAGTGTCTCTACTTTAAAGAGTCCTCTCCTGCTGATGTTCAGGTGTATATCAGTATGTAGTGTCTCTACTTTAAAGAGTCCTCTCCTGCTGATGTTCAGGTGTATATCAGTATGTAGTGTCTCTACTTTAAAGAGTCCTCTCCCGCTGATGTTCAGGTGTATATCAGTATGTAGTGTCTCTACTTTAAAGAGTCCTCTCCTGCTGATGTTCAGGTGTATATCAGTATGTAGTGTCTCTACTTTAAAGAGTCCTCTCCTGCTGATGTTCAGGTGTATATCAGTATGTAGTGTCTCTACTTTAAAGAGTCCTCTCCTGCTGATGTTCAGGTGTATATCAGTATGTAGTGTCTCTACTTTAAAGAGTCCTCTCCTGCTGATGTTCAGGTGTATATCAGTATGTAGTGTCTCCATGCTTTAATGTTCAAAAAGCTCTTTATCTCTCTCATACTGCCTGTGCTGCAGCACCTCTTTTCACCCTCTGTCTGAAACCAGAGCCAAGTCTGCTCTGATTGGTTAGCTGGCCGGCTCTGTTGTGATTAGTCAACCGCTCTTAGAGATGTCCCGCCCCTTAGTCTATCATGTCGCTCTAGCCAATACTAGCGCGAGTGTTCAATAGTGATGTCACTATGTTTCGAAAGTAAACAAAGGGAGGGAACACAGGGATTTCATCCTTTGCAGGCAAAAAAAAGGACAAATTATCCTATTAATTGTATTTAATTCAGTAGTCAGGGAGACGCATCCTCGTTAATGTTAAACTTCAGAAGAGTAACCGGGTCACTATGTGCCTCCAACAGCTGCTGAGGATCCCTCACACAGGAAGCTATTCTGGGAGCAGAGACACGAAATATACTGCTGTCAAACCAGTCTAACATGTAGATTAGCACTTGGGGGAAGAGAGAGGTGCAGGAATGAGTCTTAAATCAGGAAATGAGTCAGCAGTTTATCACTTCCTGTTCCCTTGTCTGGAAGTCAATGGTTTTCTGATTCTGTTTTGGTTGTTATCCTGAAATAAGGTCTGTGGTTAACACAAGCTGAAGAGATTTAAATTAAAATACGTCAGTAAATACCCCACTGGTGAATTAGTGGTTGCTAACAAGAGTCTAAATTAGAAGATTAAACGTCATCACGCCCAACATTAGCCACCTTTAGCTTAGCGGTGGTGACGTGAAGTCATGTGACCGTGCTGTAGTTCCTTTATAACCCAATATTAGCCGCCTTTAGCTTAGCGGTGGTGACGTGAAGTCATGTGACCGTGCTGTAGTTCCTCTATAGCCCAACATTAGCCACCTTTAGCTTAGCAGTGGTGACGTGAAGTCATGTGACCGTGCTGTAGTTCCTTTATAGCCCAACATTAGCCGCCTTTAGCTTAGCAGTGGTGACGTGAAGTCATGTGACCGTGCTGTAGTTCCTTTATAGCCCAACATTAGCAGCCTTTAGCTTAGCGGTGGTGACGTGAAGTCATGTGACCGTGCTGTAGTTCCTTTATAGCCCAACATTAGCAGCCTTTAGCTTAGCGGTGGTGACGTGAAGTCATGTGACCGTGCTGTAGTTCCTTTATAGCCCAACATTAGCCACCTTTAGCTTAGCGGTGGTGACGTGAAGTCATGTGACCGTGCTGTAGTTCCTTTACGGCCCCTACACACGGCGGCGTGCGTTGACGCTTGCCGGCGGGCATGTCTGAAGCTAGACCAATAACCAATCACCTGAATCTCCCGCCCCGGACACACAAGCAGCGGTTTGATTGGCTAGAGCTTGTACTGGCATATGATTCGATTGGCTGACGCTTCCGTCGAAGCTTCAAAAGTAGAACATTGCTCTACGCTTTGCTCCCACAATGCAGTTTGGCGAAGCATGACGTCACCCCATTCAAAGTGAATGGGCAGAAGCGTTGAAACGTCAACGCACGCCGCCGTGTGTAGGGGCCGTTATAGCCCAACGTTAGCTTTTTACTTCTGTCCAATGGAGAAATTCCATTGGCTTTTAGTGGACGGAACAAGGGAGATGCTGCCTTCAGGGTCTACTGAAGAAATATGACATCCCTGCACCACTTTACATACAGAGAGGGGTGGGAAGTATATCAGAAAGTGATAGAGCCATGCAGTTTAAGTAGGTTGTATTGTGCAGAAATGTGCAAATAACTTGATAGGCCTATAGTTTAAATAGATATAGTTTTGTGCATCAGTTACTCTTTGTATTCCTGCACTCCAGGTTTAGCTCGGCTTCTCTCCGTCCTGCAGTGACGTGTTGAGTTTCCTGGTGACTGATGTCGGTTATTCTGAGGCGTCCGTTCCTCTCCTAATATAGAGCTTCAGCTGCTCATTTAACCAGGAAGCAGCAGGCTGACGCTGGCGGCTGAATAATGAAGGCTGTGGCCATAATGAGAAAAAGATAAATGTCTGCTGTTTTCCACCCTGGGCGCTAGTTGTTGTTCTCAACGATGGACATCAGGGGACGGGGTGTCATTTTATAACAACATAATGACTTTTAGTTTGAGATATTTCTGTTGGGTGCAATGACAATGCATGAGCCGTGCAGTTTAAAGTTCCCACAGGCCCTGAACACAACTCAAACCAGAGGTCAGCAGCTAATAGAGAGCATTTCAGAACTTAATTTTACTGGACAATCAATACTTTTATAATTTCAACTTTACTGGTAATACTTTCACCTAAGTATACCATTTTGTATGGAGGACTTATACTTGTAGTGGAGTATTTTCACAGTATATTATAAGTGCTTTCTCTGCGGTAAACAATCAGAATACTTCTTCCAACAATAGGTTAAAATATCCTCACTGCTAAACTTCCAAGACGTTTACAAAATGTAGCTTACAATTTTACACAGGTTAAACATTTGTGTGTGTGTGTGTGTGTGTGTGTGTGTGTGTGTGTGTGTGTGTGTGTGTGTGTGTGTGTGTGTGTGTGTGTGTGTGAACATAACGAATGTGTTAGTGTTTGTTAAATCAACCTGTCTTTCTGCTCTCCTCGTCTTCCTCCACCATGTGAGGTTATTAATAAACGTCCTGACCCACATCCCTGCCGGTGTAATTATCCTGTCAGTCACAGTGTGTGGTCGAAGACCCCTCCCTGATTAATGACTGCGATCCTTGCAGGTGATCGCAGTTTAATTATGATTAATTGGTTTCACATCCAAAGTCACCTGTAGCATCTCCCTAGTTACCTCCAATAAAAAACAATGGGATTTCTCCATGTGATTTTGTATTATTGCAGAAATGAATCTGTGTCAAACAAACGTTTATGATACTGACACGATTAGTTCAGCAGGATAATCTCCACATATTAACACCACTTTATGATTTCTGAAGTAATAAGCTAAAGGCGACTAATGTTGGGCTATAAAATAACTACAGCTCGGTCACATGACTTCATGTCACCACCGCTAAGATATAGGCGGCAAATGTTGGGCTATAAAGGAACTACAGCACGGTCACATTCCATTACATTTGACTTGTTAGACGCTTTTATCCAAAGCGACTTACATACTCAATACTGTGGTCAATCCCCACAGGAGCAATTTGGGGTGAAGTGTCTTGCCCAGGGACACAACGACATGCTGACTGCAGTGGGGTTTGAACCTGTGAACCCCTTATCCCAACACCAAGGCTCTATCCACTGCGCCACACGCTTCCCATGTTGGGCTATAAAAGAACTACAGCTGGGTCACATGACTTCACGTCACCACCGCTAAGATAAAGGCGGCTAATGTTGGGCTATAAAGGAACTACAGCACGGTCACATGACTTCACGTCACCACCGCTAAGCTAAAGGCGGCTAATGTTGGGCTATAAAGGAACTACAGCACGGTCACATGACTTCACGTCACCACCGCTAAGCTAAAGGTGGCTAATGTTGGGCTATAAAGGAACTACAGCACGGTCACATGACTTCACGTCACCACCGCTAAGCTAAAGGTGGCTAATGTTGGGCTATAAAGGAACTACAGCACGGTCACATGACTTCACGTCACCACCGCTAAGCTAAAGGTGGCTAATGTTGGGCTATAAAGGAACTACAGCACGGTCACATGACTTCACGTCACCACCGCTAAGCTAAAGGTGGCTAATGTTGGGCTATAAAGGAACTACAGCACGGTCACATGACTTCACGTCACCACCGCTAAGCTAAAGGTGGCTAATGTTGGGCTATAAAGGAACTACAGCACGGTCACATGACTTCACGTCACCACCGCTAAGCTAAAGGTGGCTAATGTTAGGCTGTAAAGGAACTACAGCACGGTCACATGACTTCACGTCACCACCGCTAAGGTAAAGGCGGCTAATGTTGGGCTATAAAGGAACTACAGCACGGTCACATGACTTCACGTCACCACCGCTAAGCTAAAGGCGGCTAATGTTGGGCTATAAAGGAACTACAGCACAGTCACATGACTTCACGTCACCGCCGCTAAGCTAAAGGCGGCTAGGCTATTGGAGGAACTGCTATACAGGAACATTATTTTGACAATCCCAACAACGCATTAAAAACCCATTAACTTCTAGAGAATAGAGAGCAGTAAGTGCAAAAACGCTGACTCATTTCCAGGTTTTGGGACTCATTCCTCCAGCTTTGTTTAGTTGTTGAGATAGAGATCAACATCCCCCCACACTGCCAGAACCAGTCGTCGGCCATCTTGAGTTCTTGTCTGGACAAGTCTCAGTTACCCGTCCTCTGTAAAAATAGAATAAAACTTGATCTCATGTTTTCAGAGGCTGCAGGACTCTCTCTGAGGAATATCATGTTCTCTATCTGGACCTGCAGCAATTTAGCAAGTAATCCATAAGAGACAGATGAGAAGACGGGTATTGATTTCATCTCCGTGTGCAGGGATAGGGTCCTTGTAAAATTAAATGTCGGCATGAGCAGTGTGACATTTTATTAACACATCAGTGCTATTACCTCTTTTGAGAGCCAATGCAAGAAAATTAAGATATTCAGAGGTAACTATGCCAAGATTCAAAATCCTGAAGGACTCAACTTTAAAGTGCTTTTTAAAATCCTCTTTTTCCCTGTTTCCGTGTGTGGAAAAATGTTTAGGACATGTTTAGCCTAGCAGATAAAATATGTTATTCCTTCATGGGATGCAATTAAAGGCTATTGGCTGAAAGTGTTAGGGACATGTGAAATGTATCCATCAGGGAAAATACTCAAAATGACCAGAAAGAGTCTCTGTAGAGACATGAAAAGACTACAGGGAGATAATGTAAACGTGTTAACTACAAATACTTATACAAATAAGTTAGTTGCAAGTACATTCACACACAACTACAACCAGAGTCAAAACAACCACAAAGAGACTTAAAAAGTACTTTAAACGTATGCAAAGACCAATGGATGACGTCATGGAGACTACATCCACCTCTTTTTACAGTCTTTGTGCAAAACTCATAAAAAAACAATACCACCACAAAGCAACTATGACAATTACTATTCAACATTGCCCAGGTTGACCTACGAGAGATAGGGAGTTGCGTACCTGGGTCTGATATGATTTGTTTAGTTTTATCACCATGTACTGTCTTGGTGCAAAAGTAGGATAGAAAATTCAACATATGCGTAAAGCAGCTCTTACCATTGCTTTGCAACATTGCCCAGGCTAACTTTTATACAAGCAGATATAATGTCATTCATGGGAAAATTACCAGAGTAAAAAAAGAAAAATAGGTCAGATTTCTGAGAATAAAGTCAGACATTTTCAGAAATGGCGTTTCTGTACATTCATTTTGTCCTGACTGTATTCCGTTTACTTTCTTCTCCGCAGGGCGAGACTGAGATCCCATCAGTGGCCGTCACAAAGTCTCCCAAAGGAACCGGCTTGGACGGAGTGGAGGTCGAACCCGACATCTACGACGTCCCCGCCGACCTCTCCTCGGACGAAGAGTACCTGAGCGTTGAAGAGGCCGACCCCTCCAGAGCTACCCGCATGAAACAATCCATGGTGAAGAGCACCGAGACCCTGAAGGCCGCTTTCTCCAAGGAGAACATGAGCAAAACCAGAGGAAACCTGGGCACCAAGTTCCACAACCTGGGGGAGAAGGTGATGCCTCATGAGCGCCGGGACAAGATGCATCAGGCCGGCGAACGCCTGAAACACTCCGGAGAGCGTCTGAAGGACAACATCGCCAAGAAAGCGCCGAACAGAGAGACCTTTCGCATCAAACTGAAGAAGGAGAGGGCGGTGGCTGAAGGGCAGGAAGGCGCCGAAGCTGAAACCGAAGGCGAAACAGAAGCAGAGGCCGAAGCTAAAGTCCCAGAGGAGGAGAAACCAGTTGCCTATACTGAAGTTGCGATGGAAACCAAGAGAGAAGGGCCGGTGGAAGAAGCAGGCGCCACCCGGATACCAGAGGACGAATACACGAAGTAAGATCGAACAGGAAAAGGAGGCGGGCAAATCGGGGGAACCTCGAAACGTTGAGGATTTAGAGAGAAGGTCTGCGATTGGTCGACATCAACGATGATGGACACTCTTATCTGCAAGAATGTATTAAAGACGGAAGAAAACTCTTGAAGTGGGCTTTTCGGGACTCATCCGAACGCGAACTGATTATTTATTAAAGTGTCAGGGTGTGGAATTATATGATTCAAACAGCGTGACATGAATGTAAGAATCTTTATTTCAAAGGATGAAAATCAGGTTTCAAGTTTGTTTGGTTAATTTGTGGAGTCTAGATTTGTGGGATTATAACCAGTGATTAGCACTGGACGCCTGGAAGGTAAAGAAATGGTTGATTGAGGACGATGAATGTTGATCTGGAGTTTGTGTACTGATCTTTTATCTGGATGTACATATAATGTTGTACATACTGCCAAACATTTGGGAGGTGAAATTCGGTCGCTGCGGGCCTCAGCTGGTCTCTGAGACGCCCGTTGAGGAGATAAAATAACGGATAATGGATTTAAACGTCAGACTGGTTTCTGTATGCAAAATAGTGGGAGGTTTAGAGGCGCTTGAAAGCAGCATCAGCGATCGCTTGGATAGACGCTAAAGCTGCACATGGGAAAGGTTTGGGACTTCATTACCCAGAGTTCATTGCACCCGGGATAAACCGAGTGAAATGTTCAGGGGCAGGAAGTTGGGTAAATTATGGCTACCGAGTTCAAATTAAATTACAGTGTAGTCACCTTAATAATAGTTATTATTATAATTGTGTTTATTGGGAGCGTCAGATCTGTCCCAACATTTTTAAAGAAATATACGAAATGCAATGGTAATTTCGTTAACATAAGATAACGTTTTCTCCATTAAAAGACAGCACCAAAGTACGGTGGCCCTGAGGATCCAAAGTACATTTTAAAATGACAATAAAATATTTCATAAAACACAACTTCGTACATGTTGTGTTTTGACCTTCAGGGCCACCGTATCAACGTCATTAAACGACGAGCCGATTTCAACCTGCGATATTGTTGATGAAAAAGAAACTCAAAAAGAACCTCGAATCTGTCTTTTGATGTGTTTTTAAATATCGTATACAAGTTTCCTCTGAGAAATGACTGCACCAAATGGAAATATTCAACATGACATTTTACACCATTCATTTAGGGGACGCTTTTATCCAAAGCTTATTTCAAAAAGTGAAATTAACCACATCTGTTGCAATACATTATAAACACATTTCCCCAAAGTGTTTTGGATCTCCTTTGGAAGTCAAATACAACTTTGAGGCTTTGATTTAAAGTGGACCTATCATGCTATATTTGAATAATATAGTGTAGGACCATACCTATATAAGGCATATTTATACTTTTTTTTTTCAAAATACCAAACAGATCATGCATTTTAGCCATGCCTCATTTCGCTCAATTTGACCATTTTTAGATCTGTTTTAGCAAGGGCTGATTCAGTGAGAACAGCACCATCTACAGGCCTGGCATATGTACTACAGCGTCTCCAGCGCTTTCGAGCGGCAATGGCCGTGGCTGTCTCCTCCTGATTGGTGGAGTTGGCCCAATAGCCGTAGCGCCACCGTCCTGACGTCAGGACAGTGTTCAAATCTGGATCAGTTTTTATCAGATCCGTTGCAGCCCCTTTTTTAGAGATTTGGGTATGGAGGAAAATAGAGAGGGTTGTGTTTTCTGACACTTGGTGAGTTCCCTGGAACACCGGGGACACATACTCATGTAGAAAAGACGTACACAAGTGCATTTTGCATGATAGGTCCCCTTTAAGCTAAAAACCACATATTTTTCCAGTTGTATTGAGCAGCAGCAACAGCGGATAAAACAAATAAAACTTAGCATGAACTTAATAGTAACACAGTCCCTTATAAAGATCGTGGACATCAGACTGTAATTACTCTTGTGAAAGTGGATGTAGTGGCTTTAACGCTTTTTGCTGATTTTCGACGTATGAATGTTGTATTTTGTCCAGCTTTGCTGCTTGATATATATTTTATTTTGAAGTTTAGTTGGCATGCTGGCTGTTTTCTCCTGGAGTGATTATTAGAGGAGACATTTTCTGTAGAAGCTTATCTCACGTAGTGCTGTTGATATATATTAGTACAGTGTCTTATTCTGAAAAACGCACTTCCTGTATAGCTTTCATTTCACGACTTGCTGTATTTATGTTCCTGTGAGTGAAACTGTACTGGTGGAACATTTAATGAAGTAGATTAATAGTATTTGGGTTTAAACAAGGTTTCATCTGTTGCATTTGTTTCTCTTTTTTCATTTTTAATTACAGCTCAGTTTCCATTTTGTGTTTTGTTGTCATTTTTCCAATCATCTCGATCCAGTTTGAGTGCTTTACAACGAGAATCAGCTGATTGAGAGCTGTGTTGTTGTTTTGGCCTGTACGCTATACTGTATAAGCAACATCTGACATTAATCATTTTGTTTTTGTATAAATAAAGACTCATGAAACCTCCTTCAACTGGTATTCAGATATTTTGATTCACTAAAAGCAGTAACACTCAATGATTACCTTTTTACAGGTAAGAGTCATGCATTCTTCTCTTAGAAACGTCTTCAAAATATACTAAAACTATAATGGCCTTTTTAAGAATATACTTGTGTGTACAGTAGTGTAAACTAAACTATGCTCACCCACTTGAGCTTTTTTTAAATGACTGCTTAATTGGTAAAGCCATTTTGAATATAGGGCAGTGCATCAGACCCTGCAGCAGTATTACTATTATTAATATAATTCTAACTAATGTTTTCATTTCTATCCCCTTTCTTTGCACAGATGTGTAGATGGTACTTGAGTAAAAGCAGAAGTACTCAGATCTTGTACTTGAGTAAAAGTAGAAGTACTCAGATCTTGTACTTGAGTAAAAGTAGAAGTACTCAGATCTTGTACTTGAGTAAAAGTAGAAGTACTCAGATCTTGTACTTGAGTAAAAGTAGAAGTACTCAGATATTATACTTGAGTAAAAGTAGAAGTACTCAGATATTGTACTTGAGTAAAAGTAGAAGTACTCAGATCTTGTACTTGAGTAAAAGTAGAAGTACTCAGATCTTGTACTTGAGTAAAAGTAGAAGTACTCAGATCTTGTACTTGAGTAAAAGTAGAAGTACTCAGATCTTGTACTTGAGTAAAAGTAGAAGTACCAGAGTGTAGGAATACTCTGTTTCAGTAAAAGTCCTGCATTCAAAATGTTCCTCAAGTAAAAGTAGAAAAGTATTCTCATCAAAATATAATGAAAGTAGCGACAGTGAAAGTAGTGATTGTGCAGATTGGTCCATTTCAGAATAATATATATGATATGTTTTATAATGATTGATGCATTCAAGTTTTAAAATAACAGTCCAGTACTCGAGTAAATGTACTTAGTTACTTTACACCACAGTTGACTCGATGTCGCCTGGAGGAAATCTCTCTGCAGAGTTTTAATGAAATGCCAATCATCCCGCTTCGCTCTCGGGGGATTTACACTTCGACTCTCCTCCTCTTTGACCGGAAAGATCTCAGCAGCAGTTTGTCAAACGTGACATTTATTGGCCACTAAAACTAAAACACCGTGGCCCCTATTATTCTCACAGAGAGCAATAAAACCAACCAGCTGCATGAAAGCCTGTGAAGACGAGGGCGGATAAAAACACACCCTGTGTCCGACTGTCAGATTTAAACTCTAATTATCTGCAGTCTGAGAACAGGAGAGACTCGCTGCTGAAACAGAGCTTCATTCTGAAAGGGAAACTATGGGAGGCCATTAATGAGATGGGAAATACTGCAGGTGGTTGATACGATCCTGGAAGAAGGATGAAGGGAAGAAGGGAAGGTGAGATGTAGGGATGTAGGGATGAAGGGATGTAGGGAACGATTAATGAGGGAAGGGTTGAATGGAGTTAGGTATAGAATTTATGGATTGATTGATTGATTGAAAAGTTATTAACAGCAATTGTATATTGGGTTACAGTACAGTACAGCTCAAAACATACAATTGTTAAGGGGATGCAGACCAGAGAAAGACTTTCGTCTTGTTTACATCAGGGTCCCCCATTTCCAATTCATCATATCATTTAAGACATATAAGACATATTTGACATACAGATGGCTTATTTACAATTTACATTTTAGATTTCGTTCTAATACATCATAACCGGACATTTAAGACATACCAAGTCTACAGATATACAGTTAGTAACAGAGTCTAAAATGCGAGTATATACATAGATGGGGGGGGGGAAGCTGTCCATTGTACGATAGGTTGAGATTTGTATAAGGGAGTAGAGGGATATAAAGATGGAGGGAGCACAGGGTGTAGGAAGGGAGGGAGGAATGAAAGAAAGGGAGGTATGAAGGGATGAATGGAGGGAGGGATGGGGGATAAAGGAAGGGTTGAAGAGATGTAGGTAGGAAAGGATAAAGGGATAAGAAGGTGGAAGACGGGATGGATGAAAGGTCACAGGGATGAAGGGATGAAGGGATGAAGGGATGAAGGGATGAAGACCTGTATTTTGAAAGGTGTTGACTCACTGGGAAACACGACACCGCCGAGAACTGGAGCTACATTTGACTGTGATTATTATCCAAAATTGTATTCAAGTGCCCGAAACAATGAGTGTGTTGAGAGAAAATGTATTAGCAAAAGCATTTCACAGTTCCAGCTTCTCAAAATGTAGACATGCTGCTTTCCCTATTCTGCAACGACTGCATGCATGGCTTCTATGTGTATATTAGTATTGTCACGGTGTAGTATCAGTAAAGGATCTGCATGCATGGCTTCTATGTGTATATTAGTATTGTCACGGTGTAGTATCAGTAAAGGATCTGCATGCACGGCTTCTATGTGTATATTAGTATTGTCACGGTGTAGTATCAGTAAAGGATCTGCATGCATGGCTTCTATGTGTATATTAGTATTGTCACGGTGTAGTATCAGTAAAGGATCTGCATGCTTCCTCCTGTGACTCTGAGCCGTGCTAACTGTGTTGCTCTGCAGCCTTCTCTCCTCCTGCATAGCTGCACTGACGCCAGGAACCATCATTTTGATTTATTTCTCAACGAGAGAGAGATGGAGACGCCTCTCCGGAGTGATTGCATCGGGCTCCATCTGTTCGAGATGCATTAGCCGAGCACAACTCAGCTCTTCAGGCAAACTGTGGAAGAGAAACGGCCTCCAGTGAGGGAAGGGAAGGAGGATCCACGACTCAATCCAGATACTTTCATCTGAACATATCTTCTTCTTCAACAGTTGAACAGCCAACAATTACAATACTCAAGTAAAAACGACTGTTTAAAATGTATAAGTACAGTATAGTCATTTTTCGACTTTGATTTACAAACATATTGTTTATCAATGTCTGCTTTCTTCTGGCTTTCTTCTCACTAAATAAAAGTGATACATGGTTGATCAATGAACGTCTATAGATGCAGAATTTCCCAATAATAGCATAATAATAATAATAGCCCTCTTTGTAACATCGTTGATGAGTTTTTATTTTGATCGTTTTGACAGCAAAGCAACCATTGGACGACTTTTATTTTGAAGACACTTTTTCTTCTTCTGTGCCAGAAACACTTCAAATTCAAAGCATTCAATTTATTTATTTATGGTCATATATACATTGTACTTCAGTCAGACAACTCACATGTTTCTTAATATGTTTATTAGAAGCAGCATATAGTTTGAGTTTGGCGTCTAGGCTCGGGCCTCATCTCTCCACAGATGTACATAGAACATTGAGTGATGATTAGATAACTACCCCCCGAGCCTACAGGTGGAAGCTGGGGTGGTGGGGGGGGGGCAGGCGAGCAGCAGCAACATGAAACACAGCAGCAGGAACATGAACGTAGCAGTAGCAAGTGAACACAGCAGCAGCAGCATAGCGAGGCGGAGGCAGGCAGACCTGGCAGCTTAAATAGAGCGGCATGTTTAGGAGAATGTGATTGGTTGGTTGTAAGAGGGACGAGGTGCGTCACGTGTTAATGTATCATTGGTGCTCGAGTTGACTGCCTGAACTAACTCGCAGGCTTCGCCCCATATATGGCAGTGGAAATCTGAAGTCCCAGGCTCCTCCAACAATGCAACATAAATATATATATGACATTAAACAATAAAACACAGTTTAAAAAACATAAAAAAATAGTGCAACAAGAAACAGAGAATAATTAAAGGGGACCTATCATGCAAAATGCACTTTTGTACGTCTTGTATACATGAATATGTGTCCCCGGTGTTCCAGGGAACTCACCAAGTGTCAGAAAACACAACCCTCTCTATTTTCCTCCATACCCAAATCTCTAAAAAAGGGGCTGCAACGGATCTGATAAAAACTGATCCAGATTTGAACACTGTCCTGACGTCAGGACGGTGGCGCTACGGCTATTGGGCCAACTCCACCAATCAGGAGGAGACAGCCACGGCCATTGCCGTTCGAAAGCGCTGGAGACGCTGTAGTACATATGCCAGGCCTGTAGGTGGTGCTGTTCTCACTGAATCAGCCCTTGCTAAAACAGAGCTAGAAAATGTCAAATTGAGCAAAATGAGGCATGGCTAAAATGCATGATCTGTTTGGTATTTTGAAAAATAAAAAGTATAAATATGCCTTATATAGGTATGGTCCTACACTATATTATTCAAATATAGCATGATAGGTCCACTTTAAATAGTGCAAGATTATCCTGCAAGACCAGTGCAGGAAATGCAGGAGCAGTATATCCTTGTATAAAAGACTTGATGCGCTGCAGATGTTTTCCGCAGAGCCTGAGGTTGACTTCTCAGATCTTTCCTTTGAGCGTTCACACTCTCACAGATTTACATTTACATCTCGTCACACAGAGCCAGAAGGAATTAGCTGCTCTGGAATCAGGATTCTTTTGTATTTTTTTACACGATTTGTCACCGTATAAAGTTCCTCTTACAATCCAGGAAATGCCTTCTTTAAAAACAATAATCTGCGTAAAGCCAAGACTGTGTCCTCTTTGTCCACTGTGACAGCTACAACACCACCGAAGAAGAAGAGCCATCAACCCACAAAGGAAGAAGTGAACGAGTGTTTTAAAAACAGGCAGCATCTTCGCAGCGCCAGAACAATCAACCCTGTGAAATGACATGTATTATTTATTCTCACTGTCTGCAGCTGTCAGCAACAACAAAACACTGAGAGGGATTTTCCACATTGTTATTCATTACATTGATGCAAATATTTTTACTTTAGTCCCACATCCACGTACTTCATAATACTGTGAACTTTTTCATATCCCCCTTGTCAATATTTTTGCACAAATCCCACACCTCTTGAACTTAATTGTTTCTAGATGTTTTTTATATCTCATCATGTGTTTATTGTTCTGCATCAAATCACACATTCCTTGTATGCGCGGATCTACTTTGCTCATACAAAGAATGCACCAGAGGCCTGTATTTTCGCTTAGCGAGCTAACTTCAGGGAAAACTCTGGGTTTCCGGTCCTAAGGCGCTGGTTCTCTTCTTACCGGGCTAGATCTCCATGGTAACTTGTGCTGAGCGGCTAACCTGGGCCGGAGCAGGTTAGGTTCCAGGATAAGGTTTGAGTATTGAGTATGTAAGTCGCTTTGGATAAAAGCGTCTAACAAGTAACATGTAATGTGTGTGTGTGTGTGTGTGTGGTGTGTGTGTGTGTGTGTCTGTGTGTGTGTGTGTGTGTGTGTCATGTGTAATGTGTGTGTGTGTGTGTATGTGTAATGTGTGTGTGTGTGTGTGTGTGTGTGTGTGTGGTGTGTGTGTGTTGGTGTGTGTGTGTGTGTGTGTGTGTGTGTGGTGTGTGTGTGTGTGGTGTGTGTGTGTGTGTGTGTGTGTGTGTGTATGTGTTTGTTTGTATCTATACAGTATTAATTTAATCAGAATCAGAATATAAATAATGCACAGTATTTCATTTTTAGCAAGTGTCTGCTCTCTTCTGACCTTTGACACTAAATCAAAAGTGATAATTGTTAAATGAACGCTCTTTGAATAATATTGTTGATGAGCTTTTATTTTGAAAGCCGTGACAGCAATGCAACCACTGAGAGACTCTTATTCTGAAGGCCTACCGGAAGCTGTTGACGCTGAAATATCTTCATCACATCAGAAAACGTAGTGGTGTTTAGAAGATTGAAAATGATGATTTAAAACAGATTTGTTAAGTTTCTATGACCTGTGGATATGATTTAATTTGATAACGAAGCTGACTGTGATAAACGACATGCCGGAAACTAAGCATTTAACATGTTTATCGGTTGCCTGACAACGGAGAGAAAAGGTAACAAACCGGCTAACAGCTAACAGCTAACCCATGCTAATCAGCTAAAGGAGGCTAAAGACACATTTGTTGTTGTGTTGATTCAACAGTTAGTGGCAGCTGCTAACAGAGGAGCAAAGTAACGAAGTACATTTACTCAAGTACTGTATTTAAGTACAATTTTGAGGTACTTGTACTTCTACTCCACTACAGTTCAGAGGTAAACGGTGTACTTTTCCTCCACTACATGTATTTAATACCTTTAGTTACTTCACAGATGTGGATGAATGATGTGAAATCTAATCAAGTGTTAAATCAGACTTAGTTCCACCTGGAGTAAATCCACAAGCTACCCTGCAGTATACAAAGTCATTCAAACTAGCTGCACCTTTACCAGCTTTGAGAAACACTTTCATGATCAATCATTATAAAACATATCATATATTATTCTGAATGGACCAATCTGCACAAATGACTACTTTTACTGTCGCTACTTTCACTATATTTTGATGATAATACTTTTCTACTTTTACTTGAGGAACATTTTGAATGAAGGACTTTTACTGAAACAGAGTATTCCTACACTCTGGTACTTCTACTTTACTCAAGTACAAGATCTGAGTACTTCTACTTTTACTCAAGTACAAGATCTGAGTACTTCTACTTTTACTCAAGTACAAGACCTGAGTACTTCCACTTTTAGTCAAGTACAAGACCTGAGTACTTCTACTTTAACTAAAGTACCTGATCTGGGTACTTCTACTTGAACTAAAGTACCTGACCTGAGTACTTCTACTTTAACTAAAGTACCTGATCTGGGTACTTCTACTTTAACTCAAGTACAAGATCTGAGTACTTCTACTTTTACTCAAGTACACAATCTGAGTCCTCTACTTTTACTCAAGTACCTGACCTGAGTACTTTTACTTGAACTAAAGTACCTGACCTGAGTACTTCTACTTGAACTAAAGTACCTGATCTGAGTACTTCTACTTGAACTAAAGTACCTGATCTGAGTACTTCTACTTGAACTCAAGTACCTGACCTGAGTACTTGTACTTTACTCAAGTAGCCTGAATCTGAGTACTTCGACGTGAACTCAAGTACCTCTGACACTAGTACTTGTACTTAAACTCAAGTACCTGACCTGAGTACTTCTAACTCAAGTACCTGACCTGAGGACTTCCTACTCAAGTCACCTGACCTGAGTACCCAATCCTAGCTCAAGTACCCTGACCTGAGTACTTCTACTCAAGTGAACCTGACCTGAGTACTTCTACGTGCAAGTACCTGACCTGAGTACCCGTCTACTCAAGTACCTGACCTGTAGTACTTCTACTCAAGTACCTGACCTGAGTACTTCTACTCAAGTACCTGACTGAGTACTTCTACTACAAGTACCTGACCTGAGTACTTCTACTTTTACTCAAGTACCTGGGGCACCTGAGTACTTCTACTCCAAGTACCTGACCTGAGACTTCTACTCAGTACCTGACCTGATGTACTTCCTACTCAAGTACCTGACCTGAGTACTTCCTACTCAAGTACCTGAACCTGAGTACGTCTAACTCAAGTAACCTGAACTGAGTACTTCTACTCAAGTACCTGACCTGAGTACTTCTACTCAAGTACCTGACCTGAGTACTTCTACTCAAGTACCTGACCTGAGTACTTCTACTCAAGTACCTGACCTGAGTACTTCTACTCAAGTACCTGACCTGAGTACCTCTACTCAAGTACCTGACCTGAGTACTTCTACTCAAGTACCTGACCTGAGTACTTGTACTCAAGTACCTGACCTGAGTACTTGTCCCTCCTCTGAAGGAAGATGGCGGATGAAGGCAGGCGAGGCGAGGAAGATGGCGGCCCCGGAGCGGCTCACCAGGTCTTCGTGGTGATGGAGTCTCTGCTGGAGAAGTTAAAGGTGTTGAACTATGAGGAGGAGGTCCTGGCCAAACACAACATGAAGAATCTGTCCAGGTGAGAAGCTACTGCTCACGTTTCACTTCCTGCTGCTTCCTTCTTCCTGAATGTTTACTTGTGTAATAATGAAGCCCTTTATCTGACAGTGTTT